TGGACCAGTGCAGATTGACTGCGGGTGGGGGACTGACCATTTGTAGACATATTTGTCCACCAAGCTTAATGTTGTTGTATTAAAGGTTGGATTTAGGTGAAATAATGAAGGGATGAAGGAGATGTGCTGAAATCTGAAATCATTTAGTGCACTATATTTACCATCAGCCATTTTCTGTGCTATTTGTTCAAGCGTTTGATTCTATTGGCAGCTGTATTGTCGAGTTGCTTAATACTTCACTTTTAACTGGTGTTGTTCCTAGTTGGATCCATTACAACCCAGGAGCTACAGGCCAATATCCAGACTTCCATCCATCCATCCACCCATCGTCAACCGCTTATACACGTACAGGGTTGCAGGGGGCTGGAGCCAAGCCCAGCTGACATCGGGCGAAAGGCGGGGTACACCCTGGACAGGTCGTCAATCCATCCCAGGGCCACACATAGACAAACAACCACTCACACTCACACCTAAGGACAATTTAAGCAACCTAGGTCGCGTGTCTTTGGACGGTGGGAGGAAGCCGGAGCACCCAGAGAGAACCCAGAGTGAACCCGGAGAGAACCTACGCAGACACGAGGAGAACATGCGTACTCCACACAGAAAGGCCGGGCCAACCGGGGTTTGAACAACTCACCCTTTTCTTAGAGAATCACAACCTGTTCCAGTAAGGTTTCTGTAAAATGCATTCCACAGAAACTGCATTACTTAAAGTTTCTAGTGACATTCTGATGTCAGCTGACTCTAAGGAATACACAGTTTTGGTTCTCTTGGACCTTTCATCTGTTTTTGATACTGTTGATCATAATATTATGATAAATAGACTCCATGATCTGGTTGGTATGTCTGGATCAGTTTTAAAATGGTTCTCATCCTACCTTTCTGGCAGAAGTTTTAGTGTTTATGTAAATCAGATCATGTCTGAAACTTCAGGGTTGTCATATGGGGTCCTTCAGGGTTCTGTCGTGGCACCCATCCTGTCCTTTTGTATATATTTCCTCTAGGACAGAGAATCGGACATTTCACACCACATTATTCTCAGGAATTACTCAATTCAGTGACATATCTTACCATCTGTATGCTGATGATATTCAACTGTACTGCTCGTTCAAGGAAACTGAGTTCCATTAATTGTCTTCTTTAATTACTGTAACTGCTTGACCAGTATTAAACAGTGGTTATATGACAACTTCCTGCTTCTGAACTCAGAAAACAGATACACTGATTATCGCCCCTGAAAGTAGAATCCCTAAGATTAAACAGCATATTGTTGACTTAGACTCATCTGTCCAGCCGCGCCTCAGGAGCTTAGATGTTGTTTATGATTCAGCGATGTCCTTAGAGTACCACTATAAACAACTAGTCAGAAACTGTTTCTTCCAACTAAGGAATATATCCAAATTAAGAACACTGGTGTCAAAGGGTGAGTTGGAGATGATCATTCGTGCTTTTATCTCCTCTCGTTTAGATTACTGTAACAGTCTTTTTACTTGTTTGAGCAAGAAGAAGCTTTACCGTTTCCAGGCTGTTCAGAACTCTGCTGCAAGGCTTTTAACTCACATTAACAAAAGAGCACACATCACACCTGTTTTAGCAGCACTTCACTGGTTACCAGTCCAGTAAAGAATTCAATTTAAAATCCTGGTCCTTACTTTCTCCTTCCCTCCCTACATCTCTGAGTTTGAAGTCATCAGGTCAGAGGTTGTTAGTGATTCCCCACACTCATTTTAAAACCAGAGGGGATCGTTCATTCCAAGCAGTGGCAGCAGCAGTGTGTGAATTCTGTTGATTCTTTTAAAAAGCAACTGAAGACGCTGCTATTAAAGCAGGCTTTTAGTTAGATGGGGGATTTTTATGGTTTTGTTCTATGTTTTCCATTTGTATTAAATTTTCTTATGCATTGTATTTTACTTTGTTGTATTGTGAAGCACTTTGTGATTTTTATCTGTGAAAGGTGCTATACAAATAAACTTTACTTACTTACTTACTTTAGTGTCTCAGAATTGGAGTGTGAAATTTATGCTCTAAAGAGTGCCCTAAACAATTGATACAAGTGGTATCCATGATGTGGACATGGCATGACTGACAGACCGCACATTGCACCACAGCCCTAACATGTATATAAATACACAGGCGTGAACACAAAGCCTTGCTAACCCAAGACAGCGGACTTTATCTTCTTAGTTACTCTGGGGGGGTCCTGTCTGTAACGTCCCCTGAACTTCTTTCAACGCTCTGGGAACGTTTCCTCACTCCCCAACAGCCTCCCAGAAAGATGCATTTCTATTCCATCATCCCCAAGCAGGGAAAATGTTAAAAAAAATATATACAAATGCTAAACAGGCTTTTTATTTAAGGATTTTTGCCTGACGTGTATCCCACCTACACTGTTCCCTCTCTGAGAAAATAAGAGAAAGAAAGTGAATACTAGGTAAACCCTCCACTCCAAATGTGTCACCGTCATCAACCGGAGGCGAGCGGGGTGTCGAGATGGCGATGCCTGCCTGGTTGTTCTTGTCAAGACTTTTCTTATCAGGCCCTGGCTTTGTTTCTCTGTCTCTGCCAAGTTAAAACCTGAGCTGCTGTAGATGCTCGTGTAAATGTGTGGGAACAGCCAAGAAGCTGTAACAAGCTCTCTGAAAGCAGCAGGCTGACAAGGTGGTCGAGAGCTCAGGAGCTCACCCTGTCAAACTGCACTTAAGCAAGAGTTTGAACCTCTGCCTCCTGCTTTTAAGTCACATCATGTATAAAAAATGATGACGTGTCCTGGAAAAAGAACCAAAGAAAGCTTATTTTGAGTCTTTTTATTACCAAGCTTCCTTGGTAGTCCCTTTGGTTTCGAGCAATCATCAGGACAAAATAGTTACATGACCAAATGCTTGCAAAATGAATCAGCCCCTAGGCTTTATTTTGTTTTTCATGCTAATTAGCAAATGTTAGCATGCTAAACTAAGATGGTGATGGTGGTAAATATTAAACCTGCTAAACATCAGCATTGTGAGCATGTTAGCATGATGACGTAAGCATTTAGTTCAAAAGCACCACTGTCCTTAAGTACAGCCTCACAAGTGCAAGTCTTAAGTCTACAGCTCCGGCAAAAAATTTTAAATATACAGAATCCGTTTTCTAGTGTGTTCATAATAAAATGCTAATAGTATTACTTGCTTCTATACCATAAAGCAATCTCTCCGTCTTCTTTTTGTGTTCTCTGTCCCAGCACATTTTCTGCCAAAATTTAACTGGGCTTCATTTACACAAATAAAATGCAACATGTAGACCAGTGTTAAACTAATACTCAAAATGAATGTGGCCATGGTTTACTTATGGTACTAAAGGTAGCACTACTAATCTTTAATTATTCAATGAGGAACTTAATTTATTGTAAATGCAGTTCTTCAAATAGAACATATTTTGTTTTCCTCCTTTATTGTTGTTTTTTTGTCATAAATCTTTGCATATGGTGAGCAGCTTAATGTTGGCGAAACTGTAACTTTACAGTCACATCCAGAAAATGACTCTGTTAGACCAATTATAATAAAGGAGGGATTACTTATATTCATCGGGTAACCTCACCCCCTTGTTTAATATTGCCATCTTAAAATGCACGAGATAACTGATGCATGAATACATCCACTGGTCACCAGTCACAATCCCAGTCAAGATGAGGTTCAGCTGCGCAGCAGGGGGAGAATCACAAGATGCACTGCTGTGCCCGATTCAGCCGAATGATTCAAATTTATCCCTGCTGACTATTTTACATCAGCTCCTATTTGAATATTTTCACACTGTGTGTAAGGGAACAAGAACATGTGATGCTTTTTTTCACAAACTAATTTATAAGTTGATCTAATGAATACTGATTGTTCCAAAAGTGCTTTCAACCACAACATCTAAACCCACTGCATGACTGTGCTTGGCAGTGATTACAGCCGGGGCTACAGGCCAACGAGCCAGAGATCAACATCAGGAAGTTTGCTATCCTTACTGAATTGTCAAAACGAGAGCTAGCAGCTCTGTGAGCCTGTTTTTAGGCCTTGAGCTAAATGCCAATATCAAGATGCTGACACGAGAGGATTACCCATTCTTCAGCCCGTTATTCCGAAAACCGCAATAGTTTCACGTGTGACACGAACACAAGCCTCCTGGGTGAAAGTCTTGTGCCGGCGTGGGTTTTGTCATTAATAGGCTATCTTTCTGGCCTTATAACAAAAAACATTTAAGCAATTTTACTGTCCCAAATTTCCAATGTCTGAGCAAGATTTTTACCTCAGTACTTGCCCCAACCACCTCCCGGGCAAAACCCCTGCCAATTGAGCACCACGGACAAGGTCATCAGTAGTTGGGATCAGGAATCATCCTCTGAGGAACACGAATGTTTATACAAGTCTGTCCAAGTTGTTGAGAAATTTCAGTCTGAACGACGGTGGTGGATTGACCACAAACCACAGAAGCTAATTCTAAATAACTGTATGGTAGTCTAATGTTTTTTCATTAGACAGCAACTTTATGTGAGAGACCACTGATAGACATTTAGATTGAGCTTGTCTAATGAAATGAAATTATAATTTCATATTTCTTTCATAACTGTGATTAGTTCTCATTTCTTGACTAAAAAATCTGCAGTCTAAAAGCAGGCAGATCATTCTGCAGCTGAAGCTAAGTGATTTCAACAATCTGCACTAGATGCAGATCAAGACTACTTTCTGATTAAGGGTTTGATTATTTGACAGGGTTCATTTGTATCAGTCGATATGTAGGATGGATCTGTATTTTAATGAAGCAGTGGGAGAACTTGAATGATCTCACAGTCGGGAAAATCGATCTCTGGCTTTAGATAAATCTTTATTCTGCCATAATACAAACATGTGAGATTTTCTGATTATCCTACCCAGTTAATCACATTCACAAAAATCAAATATGGTAGTTTTCATCCTCCTGCTCTCCCACGCATGAAATCCATTCAACTTCCGTCTTCTTTCTCTCCCCGCTCTTCTCTGCAGGAGGATATCAAACTCCTGGCTGAGCACCGGCTGGTTCACAATGACCATCGCCCTGGAGCTGTGTGATAGGATCAATGTCTACGGCATGGTTGCCCCGGACTTCTGCAGGTGAGACAGGGCAGCTGAATGTAAAACCTCCCCATCAGCTCACCAACAAGCTTCATCACTAAGAGTTTTTAAAGCAGCGCTGTATGTGCAGCTGCTTCAAGTGTCTATAAATTCATAGCAGCACAGTCAACTGATCAGAAAGATTAAAACTGTAAATGTATTCAGGCAGCTGATAAATAACATGTCAGTGTGGCTGGAGATGTTTATGAATGCTAAAATTGCCTGAATATAAGTATTTAAAAAAGTCAGTACACAGGCTGCACAAGTGGTGAAATGTGGCTTTTAGCACAGAGAATATAGGGTTTGATAAGGAAACAACTTCTATTTAAGGTCTGAATCAGTACGCAGACTTCCCCTCTTTAGGCTCCTTATTGAGGAGCCTGGAAGGCGCCCTTTGTTTCCCCTGACTTCGTCCAATTTTTCTGTTTGTTTATATTTGTTTTGTTAGTCAGTTTCTCCACAGCCACTCATTCATCCTCTGCAGATGTCACAAAAATCACAACAACACAAAGTGGATTGATAATCGGCTACTGAGGGCTGCAAAGTATATACAAGTTGTATTCCCCCAAATTCAGGCAAAAGAAGTCAAGTCAAAGAAGACTAATTTGAGAAAGGCTTTGTTCACCCTTTGACATATTCTGGATTATTCAGTATGGAAATGCAGACTTCTGGAGATCCAGCCCATCAACTGGTATACAGCTTATGTGAAAGAGTTGCACTGAGGGATAATGACACATGTGCAGCCCAAAGGCAGGCCATATTTTACTTGAGTGATTCCTCTAGTAGTTGTATAAAATGTTTTCAGTGAAGTTAACAATCCACTCTAACGCTGTTACTAAAATGAAGATGCCATCCGGTGTCACCTTTAACTGACTGTAATTGCTTATTTTTAAGTGTTACTGGCAGATCTTTCTGTTGTCAGATGAGTGCAAGTATAAAAGTAGTGTTTTAGTGCAAAAGCCCAGCAATCAAATGCTACTATTGATTAGAAGTTACCAATTGTGGTTGTCAGTCAAATCACAATATCGTACATACTGAAATGTTGTGAAGGTGAAAAATTAAGTGGAGGTAAAAGTGAGCGATGGGGTCCTACAGGAACACTGTACACACCAAAGTTAGGACAGTTTAAGCCATTTGACTTTTGAGAGATTTCTGTATTTCTTTTTTCTCTGTGCTCTTCTCACTGGTTTGAAGTGGGCAGGGGTCAGTTAGGAGAAGGTGATGAGTCAGGATGTATCAGTCAGGATTTAGAAACATTGAATCAGATTCTGATGACATGTTTGTAAATTGTTTATTCACTGTAAATCAGATTTGATCAACTAACCACCAACAATCTGATGAAGCGGATTACGTTAATGTTAAGTCTTTATAAATAATACCTAAAGATGTTTCTTTTAACTTCAGTGGTTGCTTATTAAGTGAATATTCAATGTTATAGATATAAACACCAAGTTTTCTCCTTCTTAGCCTAAGAAATAGATTTTCTCCACACATCAAGAAGCATTTGATCCTTCTGTTATTGGAAAACATCATATCAGATTTAAAATGCAGAACGCTGTTTTTATTGGGTAGCAGTAAAAAGCACCAAAATAAAGTTTCTACAAGGGTCCATTTTTGTAGGGATTTGGTGGGTGACATTGAAATGAAATGAAACTTCAAGTAATTACAGAATTATGTGCAAATTAGTAAAGTAAGTACTTTGCCATGACACAGACACAAGGGATGCTAACTTTAAAATAGTACCACTAAAATTTAACCACAACACTTGCCAAAATAACAGGATAACAGCACCCAGGTCATGCTGACTGCTAGTTGTTATGGCGACAACTATACTACTACAACTACTACTACATGTTGAGAATTTGGAAAAAAGAAAAGGGGAATTTTTAAACTGCGAAGAATTGTTCCCCTCCATATTCACTGTGAAATTTACGCTAAAGAAATCCACATTTTCCAGGTGGCTGATTTTGCCTCTTTCCATGAAAAACACCATAGAAATGCAAAGAACTATGGGATATGTACCCAGTTCTGACCTTGTCTTGCTCCTAGTAACTAGCTCATCCAGGCTCATTAGCAGAGTTTAATGGTTTGAATTAAAGCTCACGTCTCATCAGTCTCAGCCAACACTTTAATTGGGGGCTTTTATTGGACAAGGAACAAATCTTATTAGATTTTCCAATATAAAGAACTCTAAAATGTTCAGTATATCTTTGTTCCTGGTTCTGATTGATTAAAGAATTAGTTTTTATTTTTGGCTTAGGCACAAATTTAATCTTGATGATAATGAAGAGGGTATGCCGGTTCATTTCTTTAAACAAATGGTTTGCTTAAGCTGATACTCAGCAGTCCTTTTCAGTTCTCACAATGAGCAAAGTCTGTAGATTTTTCTAGATGTGCTCCAACTGAGAATTCAAAAGTTGTGTTTCTCTAACGTCACGTCGAATGTGTTTTTACGGACATAAAGATCGATATTTATAAACCCAAAGCATTAATAAATAACCAGTAAATATAAATGATGCATCAACTGTTGTGTTATCAGAAACACATTGATAAAATATTATACTGTTCTTGGAATGGTTTTTCGTGTCAAGCAGCTGCTTGCTGTTTTTTGAAGTAACCTCCTTTAGTTTTTTTCTAAAGAATACCACATTTGAAAAATATGTTGAAGGAAACAGTGTTCTTAATGACTTCTTACAAAGAGAACAAAGTCAAAGACTCTTCTTTTCATTTAGTGGCTCTGTTTCTCAATTAATGCATTTTTAAAATGCTGGAACACTGTACTGAGGGACGTCTTTTCTCCAGTTTAAATACATTTTGAAGGTGTTTTTTTTTGCTTTTATTTCACGGTCAGTATGTGCAGAAAGACATAAAATAAATCCAGTCAGATTTTAATGACATTGTATTACTTGGTAGGGACCTTACACCACTGACAATTTCAATTTTACCAAAGGTTTCAGCAAAATCACATCAGTTGTGCATGATATTTGGACAAATAAACAAAAGGAATATTGTATGCCCTATGAGACAGTCACTTTTATTTTAAAACCAATAGAACATGACGGAGACTCCGTGTTCCCCAGATCTTTAAGAAAAATCTGTCAGAAAATCACTTGAATAAACAAACAGGACACAAAATAATAGGAAGCAGATGTGGAAACATGCACAGATATGGGAAAAGTAAAATACATAATGGTATAGTGATTACTACATGAAGATAAATGACTGTGTGAGCAGTGTATCGGCTGGTCTAACAAAAGGTGAACTGAATTAAACAAAATTCTATCAAGGTCATCATGAAATGAATTCAAATGAAAAACCAGGGAGTTGTTAAGGAAGTGCATTAGCAGCATCGTTAGGGTTGGTTTTTTCCCATCTAAGACATATACTATGCGGTCAAAAGTATGTGGACACCTCTATGGGAAAGTTGTCCGCATACTTTTGGCCTACATATTTGAACTTCTTCTGCTTCTGTTGTTTTCAGTGGTTTTACTGTAAAGCATTTGTTAAACTGACCTGAACCCTTTCACGTCCCTCATCTGATCATAGTTTAAACTAAAACTTAGAGTTCAGTTAGGACATTCACATCAAGGTTTTAAACATTCACTGCAACAATGCACAGACCGTACCTGAGCTGAAACTTTATTTAATAAAGGGAAAGAGGAGTGATGGGTGAATGTCTTTTATTTTAGTAAAATATGTATAATCTGTAAAACTGAATCTGCCTTCTGGCTATCTTTCAGTCAGTAATGAAGCAGGGGTACAGCAGTCTTTGAGATTAGTCAGATCGTGATTAATAACAAAATTATTTTATCCTGTGTGATGCTTCAATTTGTTTTTATATGTGGTTTAATGTTTCTGTAATATGATGTGTTACAATGGGTTGAATCTGTGTGACGAAAAAAATCACAAACTAAATGCTAATGCAGGAGGAGGTGTGTGTGGGGGGGGGGGGATACATTTCGGAAAGCAGGCAGCAGTGTGGCAGCAAGGATGCAGAGCTCAGCGTTGTTGTGGCAAATTTTTATATGAGCTCACTTTATTGTAAAAGAGAAGACATACATGATTAGAGGATGTGCTGTGTGGGACATGTAACTATCTGTGAACTACACCGAGGCACCAGTTTTAGAACTTTCATTATCCATGCTTAGCTAGAACTTTATTTGGCTTTTTCATTGTGTTCAGCCTCAGGTGGCATTTAAAAATGATTAGAGCGAGCTCAGTGTGGCTGCGTAAGCCCTGCAAAAACAAACAAATGAATGCAGATCAGTCCTCCTACTTTGAAATGAAAAGCCCTCTGTGGCATCACATGAAACTCAAGTGACTCATTAAAGTGTTTTTAAATGTCAGCTGTGTCTCTCACTACCACTGCAGGGAGCCTCAGCACCACTCCGTCCCCTACCACTACTATGAGCCAAGGGGTCCAGATGAGTGCGCCATGTACATTTCTCATGAGCGTGGCCGGCGGGGCAGCCACCACCGCTTCATCACAGAGAAGCGGGTCTTTGCCAACTGGGCACGGACTTTTGACATCCACTTTTACCAGCCGGACTGGAGCCCCCCACCACTCCCAGCCAACCAGACGCTAGAGGGGACGGTAACAGCAGTGCGCCAGATACCCCAGAAGACGTGACCGGTGTTAGGGTGAAGAAGATCCTTTAGAGATTCATCTCAGAAAGACTGAAGATGGGGAACATTTGCGTGGAGCCCTACTGGACCCTTTAACAGAAAGATAAAACATAACATAACAACACAAGGCAAGAAAAATAGTTACCACAGATAAAGACTGGGTCTTGTTGATCCTGCTGGACATTTGTTATGAACATTTCTCCAGCTCCACCACTGCAGCTCCAGCGGTGTGTTTTGTTTACTGAGGCAAACCAGTTCAAAGTTGTACATCCATTTCTGAAAACCTTGAAAAGCGAAGTTATACAAGGAGGCAACATCATTACACTCCACTCTCAATGCATGCATGCAGTGTCTTACTGTGGATCCTCCTTGTCTTTGTGCGTGTGTGTGTTTACCAGAGGGATCACAGAGGATACAAACTTGATTTTGGCTCTCCACAAAGCCTCTGCTGGTTGAAGGATATATGCAGGATTCACTGCTTACAGTTTGTTGAAAGAAAAATACCATTTCAGTGCCCGTAATCTAACAATGTAGTGCTTGAGACCGTGTAAACTGAATACTAATAATTCTTTAGCTTGAGTTCAGTTAGAAAGTATGAATTATCGCTATTCAGATGTTATATTCTTCTGCAGATTGAAGAGGTCAAGTTGGATGAGATTCTTTAGAACACAGTGTCGTGCAACAAAGGCTCAAACTCCTTCAAAGGAGATATCAATCACTTCCCTAACTTTCATTTACACTGCCTTTCAGATGGGTGTGTTGTAAGCTCACTGAAGTGTCACCCAAGTCAAACTTTGCAATGCAGCACTTCCTGGCTGAATGACAAGTGTGTAACATTAACTTGGAGGTGTTATCTCATGCGTTTGCACCTCCTCTGCCCCGTATATATGTATCATAAGGCTTTGTCGGCTCCTGTCACCAGTTAATAGCACGATTTATACATAGCTACAAGCTGAATTTCCATGTAAATGCACAGCTATGTCACACAAGACAAGTGGGAGATTAAGATCGAGAGCAGGGATGCAGCAGCGGCATCTATCCTACTGTATTCATCTGCTGCTGCTACCGCCTTGCAGGAGAATTACACCATTTGTTTGTTAAATTGATGAATACGTGTTCTGCTACTCTTACCCTCTCTCGCTCTCTATTTTTGTTTTATGTGCACTCTCCTCTGATTTGTTGGAGTATATATTACGTGTAGACTGCCCCTTCACCTCTCTGAGATCCCATACCCCAGTAATAAGAATCAGGTCTTCAGTCTGGGGAAAGTCATGACACATGTTGTTATCCTAATGAGACATCCTGGTGCTAAGTCCCTATTGATTTTGCCCTCATCTCTGTAATATGATTAATGAGAGGAGAGATGCTGTGAGTCAGATACATGGTGCTCACACCATGAGAACGTGTTTCACATCACGTTTCCTCTCTGATGAGGATACAATTGCTTTTCACACATCACAAACAGCTGCAGGAGCTGCTGACTTTGTACAAGTAGCCCAAGACCAAGAGACGTGTTTGTTTTTGGGAGATGTTGACTCATCTGCCAACGGCTGTGCACAGTGGTCTGTATTTGCATAGTGATAAGCACTTGAATATTTTGGGGGTTTTGCCTAATTAACTCAATCATAGTATGCTGTTTAGAGCTGCTACTACTGCCTATTTTCATTTGAGATTGTTTGATAGATAAAAAGTCAGAAAATAGTGAACAATGTCAAGTTCCCAAGTCCAAGGTGACATTTTCAGATGGCTTGTTGGGTCCAAAACCTGAATATGATAAATTTACAGTGATTAAATGTTTGCTTTATAAAAAAGTTAAAGGAATAGGTTGACATTTTGGAAATACATTTATTCTATTGGCTATTTTACGGGGGTGGGGTGGGGGTGGGGGGGTGATGTGCTAAACCATTTCTTGATTCCAGGAAGTTCCTGGTCCCAGTCAAGAAACATTTCAGCATGCAACCCCCCCTAAAACGTTGAGCTGTCATTTTTACACTTGCGCTAGTGTTTGTACAAACAAAGAAGATATATATATTAATTAGTTAGCTTTAGTTAGTCTTTTTGCTAAGCTAAGCTAATTGGCTGCTAACTCCAGACACATGTATACTGTACAAAGTGTTATCAAGCTAACTCTCTGAAAGAAAGCGCATCTCCCAAAATATCAAACTATTCCTTTATCGATTAATAAGTTATTAATTGTTGCCAATTAATTTTCTGTTGATCGACTATCTGACTAATCATTTCGGCACTGTCGTTGTTAATATGTTTTCCTTTGTTCTCTTTTTGCACATGATGGAAATATATCAGTCCACTCAATAAAATTCTTTTTATCACTAGCTCTTTTCACAGTTTCTATGTGTAACTGTAATAAACTGGTAAAGAATGTGAGAAATAAAATTTGAATATTATGCCTGGATTTGTGTGTAGCAGCCCCCAGAAATGAAGATGAGACATGGAGGTTTTGAGGAGGATGGGAGGCCAGTGACTCACCTTCACCCTCCACTGACGACTGCTGATTTTACTTTTCAATCTCTTCTTGTCTGGTTGTGACATCAGGCTGTGTCACACTGAAATAATAATGATAGGCAGCGCTACAAGGCCATTACTACCCAGAGCTACAAACGGATCCTGACTGTCTTCTTAACTGACTGTTGGAGAATTTCTTTTTGTATTTATAAATAGTACTGCCTGAGGGTGAAGCACATACAGTGGATCAAGGTAACGTAAGATGATGAAAGGAAACCAAGGAAACTTCAGTTATTAGATAGCTGAGCCTTTAACAGATCAATAAAATGTACTTAATATGCATTTAGGTTGATTGATGGCTCATTATAAAACATGATATCACAAATTATGAACTGGGCTGGAAAAATAATACTTTATCTTCTAATATACACAAAAACAGTTATCACAATAGGGCTGCAGCTAACAATTATTTTCATTATCAATTACTCGCTTGTTTTTCATCAATTGGTAAATTGTTTTCTGCATAAATAGGGTTTCTATGGGGTTCAGCCAAAGTATGAAAGTATTATTGAAAACCAGAATTATTTATTATATCAAATTCTTTCAATACTTCCCAGCGTCAACGCGATCTGGTCCTGGATAATGGCAAATAATTGATGGATGAATTAACCAAGTTAATGAGTCTTTGCGACACTGGCCCATATTGAGTTGATGAGGTTCCTAGCTACTGTACTGTTTGCAAAAGCCGGATGGTTCTGACTGAAACTCCACAAAAGTCTCCTGCAGCACAATCCACTGTCACAACAATCCTACTTTTAGTTTCTCCCAACAGCCGGCAATCACATAAGGAAACATATTACAAGCGACATTACAGTCTACAGCAGTTAGGAGAAACTATTTAAGACTTGTAAAGGATATTTAACACTTTTAATACCTTCTAAGGCCTTTTGTATGATATATCAAAATATGAATTCAGTGCTTTTGAGCCAATACCTGCAGATACTGATAAAATGTGAAAAACTTCCCACAGCCCAAGGTGACTGTCTTGTTTTGTTTGATCAACAGCCAAAAAACCCAAAGATAGTAAATTTAGAATAATATTAAAGATGGAAAACCAGAATATTTAAGATGAAGCGAATGTTTGCTTGATTTTAACTTTAATCCATTATCTAAAATTAAAAGAATGTTTAATCGTGTTAGCTTAGCACTACAGGATACACAATTCTACTGTTATTGCCATGTAAGTCAGTGCATTCTGGAGTTTTTAAGTCATCAAATTTTTCATCTTTTTTTGAGCGCTTTAAGGACTTCTAGTTGAGACTGAAAGTTGTTCTTGGCCTTGGACACAGTATTTATTACTGCTACTAAAAAAGCTGTGTTCAATGCCAAAAATCAACTTTCAATTTTTAAATATTTATCATGGAATCTAAAATACGAAAATGACTTTCCCATGCATATAATACAAATGTTGTTTGTATAAGCAGTTCATTTGAATTCTCTTTGCTTTCTGAGTTTATACTTTGTGTAAAATCGACTTTGCATAAATTAATGAATTTCAAACAATGCAATCTGGACAAGGAAGAGGAAGCTCTCCATATTTATTACAGACCTTTCTGTCAAAGCAACCATCACCAGATTGTGAGACTTTCCCTCCTCCTCCTCTTTATTTTTGTTTTCTTACTCAAAGTTTAAGAAAAGCCACGTTTAAATGTGAAAATACAGTAAGCAAGCACCACTGAGAACAATTTATGCCGCAGCTATTGTTGCAGATGAGAATGAAAATCTGACTGCAAAAATTACTATCATCATTCCTGGGAATGATTGACATTACAAAAAGCTCACTGACAAGCAAGCAGTTGGAAATCCAGAGTTTCCATGGAAATTGGACAACCTGTCAGGCGTCTCCAAACAGCATATGTGTGCTTGTGTTTGTTTGTGCGTAAATCATTAAATTTAGCAGGCTGCCACTTGGGGCTAATGTCGACGTTCCACTTCTAAAGACAACAAGGTGTGCGCGCGCTCCCTGGTAAATCCTGCTGCTGTTCGTTGTTTGAACAACCTGTGTGACATATTCAGAGCATCCTGCCTGACTTTTCAGCCTGAAATCACTCTGCCTCTTTTGACACGGCTGTTCTAATATTGTCCTGTCACTGGTTTCTCCCCACCAAATCAGGTGTGAAGGAAGACAGACACTGATCTTTATTAACATAAGGAAACCATAGTGACACAGCAGATGGGAGAGTAACATCACCGCGTTGAAAAGCTGAGTATTTTCATTTCCATCTGCGAGTGCTGAAGTAGAAACGAGAGGCAGAGGAGATGGAGTCAATTTTGAAGTAAGTTTAAGAACAAACAAAATCCGCCTGAGATAGGGTGGCTTTATAATGTATCTGCTGCCAGCCTGGTATACACCGATTGTATATTGAGGCTTGGATCCAATGGTTGCTATCTTTTTTTAAATACAAGACAGGAACAGAAAGAAAACTACATTTAAAAACCTCCCTGGATTGTTTGAAATGTCTTCAGTAGGAAAACAAAAGTGCAGGTGTGTAAATCAACTCAAGCTGGAACCGGTTTCAAGGATGTCTTAAAATAAGCTGCACCAGGCATACCTTCAAGGGTAACGGTAAAAGCAGATCTGGTCTTTAAACAGTATTGCAGGAAAATAATGGAAGCTCTATTATTTAGAAAAAAGTTAATAAATAAAACAAGCAGTTAAAGACACAAATACATTTCTTTTATTAAGTGTTTCATCTTAAATGAGGGTATCAAAATCCTACCAATTTAAATAAAATGAACTCTCTGAAAGGTGAATGAGAATACAGGAAATAAGAAACGGGAGAGAAAAAGGGAGAAGAAATAAGCGTTGCATAAATAATGTGTAAGAAACGGTACTTGGTGGCTGATACGGCAGATGCCTTCAGATTCATACGGTTCATCTATTTCCCCCTTCAGCCATGAGGGAGAGATGCAGCGGGCACCCAATGGGCGTGTCCTCACGCCAAGGAGCAAAGATAAAGTACCGCAAGTTTAATCCATATGCTTTGAGCATCAGTCACTCCCCCCAACAATGAGCCTAATACAGAGTGGTTACACATGGAGAGAAAAAAGGAGGAAAACATGTCCCAGCACAGAGGAGATTCATTTGGGACGGCCCTCGGCTTACTAGGTTATCACTCACTTATCGCTGCCATAGCGTGAGACATAGAATGACCGGGGAAATAGCTGTCCATCACCCAGAATACAATCAGCGGAGTACACGGCTGGGGTAGCTAATGGATGTTTCCACAGCGAGGGCAATTTGGTGAATGGGAAAGTGGATGGGTCCATCATGTGAGATGAGATTATGTGTGATTGTTATCCTTCACAAGCGTGATATGACGGTCAAGGGGTGTAATGTATATGGTCAGGGGGAGACATTTAATAGTAATCTCTCCACAGCCCACTCTCAGCCAATCAGCCTGCACTCATCCCACATTTTCCCTTTTTGACCGTGCAGACGTTCTGAGCAGCACTTAAACAAAAAGGCTGCTGCTGAAATATGCAGAGCAGTGCGCTCTCGAAAATAAATTAAATTCTTATCTGCTGACTCAATTCACTGCTTTTTTAACCAAATCAAGGCAATTAGGGAAGACTTGACAAAACAGAAGTTTTGATATAAAAAATTAATAAACATAAGTTGAATTCCTTGTCAAAAATAAAACACAAAACAGTTCAAATGATCCCACTGTTGCTCATGTACATTTGTGGCTTCGCAAATCTGATGCATGACTTTCAAGTATTTGGAATAATACACACATGTTTACATTTCATCAGTAGAGAGCAATCATCCAAAAGGGGGGAAAAGGCAATCATGCAGTTTCTGGCCAAGCAGTTCTGATGCCATATATCTCCTTTTCCATTTTCAGGAAAATAAGCCTGTCACAAACTGCACCATTCCTCTAATATCCATTCTGTAAAAGCTCCTGATCTGCAGCTTCATGTCCTCAGTTATCCAGCAGGGTAAACATTGAGGCCTCAGAAGATGTGTTTGAGGTGCTTCATGCCGTACGTCTTGAAAAAGACCAGGAGGATTAGAGTCCACAGGCCCAGGATGAAGCCATCAGGAGGATGCCAGTCTTTCTGCTTTGGTTTCTGAAGGGGGGTGGGTAAAGAGAGGGTGGGGATGGGGAGTGGAAATTGGAGAAGGGGGGGGGTGCAGGTTAGTAATAGTGTGTATTTTTCTCCCCCCGTTGAGGCCACCACTGATTGTTCTGTCATTCACACAGGCAGGCAGGCGCAGAGTCACATATACACTCACTTTATCTCTCTTCTCTTCACACACTTTGTCTACACTATCTGCTGTCTCACATGCACAAACACAAAAGTTCGCACAAAAAGCGGGTGGTAAAGCTCATCAGTACACCTCCCCTGTCTTGTGTTTGTCCCATTCACTGCCACATCATCACTTTGTGTATGATTATACTTTTAAATCTCCCCTGTATTAAACATGCATCTCACAAGGAGCACATTTATATGCTAATGCAGTGGCAATATTCTACGGAGAGATGAGATTTAACCTCTAAAGAATCTTCCTAACTCCTCCGCTGGCGACAAAGCTATAGATAGGTGGTGAGGACGCACTTAAGAGATTTCTGTTATCCCTTGCTACATAAGCTGCCATTATATCCAGTCAAGAAATTACCAGTCAGAAAAGGCATTCCCCAAAGCCAAAATCGCAAGACAAGGCAAAGAGGATGAACGCGCAGCAAGTCTGTCTGAGTCACAGACTGTACACACAACACAAGGACAACATACAGCACAGTAAAGCTGCTACATAAATACTTACAAGACCTGTATCTCTCTAGCTTGGCTGAGTGCTACTACAGTACCCAGTGTCCATTTACTCCTTAAGAAGTACATCCTTACTGGCTTGACAAACACACACACACTGCAGCAGGAGTTGGAGGCAGGCCGACAACAGACTGACAGGCCCTGGGGGATTGGACGTTGGTGTGAAAGCCCAGTCCAGGGTTATTAGTTCCCTCAAACTACAGTCATAAGACAAGATACAAAGTTTCTGTCATACAGCATGTGGATCGATAGATAACAAAATGGAGAATTATTTTATTTTATTTATATTAAAATCAACAGCGCATTTACTGTATTATTCAGACAAACAGAAAGCTCTGATAATCCCGCTGTATGCTTCCTGCCCAGTTTACCTCTTACAGCTCACGTTTTTAAGCCTGCAGCAATATGTTTCGACTCTCACTGCTCTCATCGGTGTGGTTTCAAGTTCTGATAGCCAGTTCTTTAAATAACATACACTGACATCTAATATCTGGCTATACTGTATTTGTACTCAACTTATTCTGTAATCATCAGACACTTTCAATTCAAATCATAATCTGGCCAATCTTAGGTTCATTTTATATAGGGAAAGTTAGCTATTTATGTTTAGCCAACATTTAAGAGCTTCGTTGGTTAAATGAAAGAAGGTTTTGCAGAATACATGTTGCCATTCCTCAGAGTAAGGTATTAAAAAGAAATATTTTGGTATGTGTACCAAAACATAGGTATATCAGCACAAGTTTCTGAAAATGTCCCACGATACCCAGCCCTACAATTACATTCATCAGGTGGACTGAAATATCACTGGAAACTAGAAAAGTCCTCTATAAAGCAGTATAATTCCGTCAGGTACTGGTCAAGCATACACAATACCAAGAACTTCCAAGTTGGTCCATAGCTGATTTAGTGATTTTCAGTTGTTTCAGAACTAGAAAGCTGGATAAAAAAAAAACTTTAATTTGAGGCACTGTTTAGGTTCTATAGGCACTATAAAATATCCAGGGTATGTATCTATCTTTAATGAGTTAATTGCTATGCAGACAGAATAATATTTCACCTAATCCTGATGACTGGTGCTATTTCAGTGTTGTAAATGTCTAACTGCCGTGCAATTAGTACGTAAATTGATCTGTACAACTCAAGCAGTCATCTTATATTTTGCTGAATTTCCCTCAGTAAGAGATGTTGAGAACTGCTGAACTGGCATATGTACAGTGGACTGCTTTGCAATACAAATAAGAGACTGGCACACACTGTAGAGTGTGTTTAATATCCAGCGTCTCAAATTACCACCCGCTAAGCGCCAAATGCCAGTAAAAATAAATAAAATTGTTACAAAAATAAGACCGCAACAAAATATCCCTGTATCTATTCATCTGTCATGCCGATGAATTAGAGTCCTTGAAAATAATATGAAATCCTTAATCTAAGACGCAAGTACATTTTGGGTCCTCTGTGTGTCATTCAAGCAGCAGATCTACTTCCCACCTGCACATTTTGTATGAGCGAGAGAGACAGAGAGCACATCGGTTACAGGACTTGTATATGGTGATACCCAGCTAGCTAATTCACTAAGGAAGACTTGAAAGCTAGGGATCTAAGATGTTTTTTTTCCAGGAAGAAAAGGGATGAAGGCAACCAGGCGAGGCTAGAGGAGGTGGAGGAAGAGTGGCCAATTTGGGGTTTTCATAAGCTGTAAACCATAATTCTATAAAATAAAGGCTTGAAATATCTCACTTTGCATGTAATGAGTCTATATATTAGTTTCACCTTTCAAGTTGAATTACTGAAATAAATTATAATTTTTCAAGTTTCACCTGTATATCTCTTTCTATCTATCTCACTCAGATTAAAGCTATGTAGCTACTGTGGTTCACTTTCCATAGCTTCCATTGCCAGCAGCAATTTATTATTATTATTATTATTGTTATAATCATTTATTATTATTATTATTATTATTATTATTATTATTATCATAGAAAATATTTATTTATTATTTATAAATACCTCTTGGTAGAGCACAGTGCCTCCCATCTTATATTAATTAATTGCAAATGATGCATGAATTATCAGGTGAAAACTCAAGATTTCTGGGCTGGGCAAAGCCCTCCATTATTTCAAGATCGTAACAATGCCTCTGGGTTTCTCAGTGACTGACAGCAATGCTCTGCTACACAAAGCAGCATTGTCTCAGCTTGTGGAGAGGAGGTGATGATAAACTTGACCCACAGTGAGTCTTAAAATAACTGATTCCGATTCTATTCATGAAATAGCATTTAGAACCGGCATGATATGTTTCTTTGAATAATGAATATTAATTTCTTTGGCTGGGGAACATTATTGTAATTTCTTATTAGTTGAACAGTTCTTAGTAAGTCAGGCGAAAAGTTAATTTCTGGAACTGTGTGTGGCTGCGTGCAGGGTACTGTCTTCTCAAGGCTGTCTTTTCAATCCAAACTCCAGGTAATATGACAACGCTGCCAACTTCTTATGTAGAAAGGACAGCAGTAAAATTGGATTACGTCTAACTCCAAATTTATTTAACAACTCAATCAAGTCAAATCAATAGAGCTCCACTGCCACCCAGAATGCTTAAGTTGAGACGGCTATATGTTAGCACACATAGCTCCAGGCTAGCCATTATGTTGGACAGAGTCAGGGCTGCAGGCAGATATTAGTTGGTATTTTCTGCTTACATTCATTCAGAAAAAAAAAAGACTGATGTTTAATTCAGACTTATTGTGGAGCTGTGGTCACAGGCACCATTCCTATCTACACTATATCTACAGTAGATAGTGTGACAGATACCAAGCTGCAGGTTATGTGGTGGAACAGCTCAGTACTTCAACACACAATTAGTGAGGAGCAGAGACAATGAAGCTCAAACTATAAAAGGAATGTTTTCAGCAACTTATTCAGTGGTGCTTTTGTGAGTGAACGAGTGAGAGAAACTGCAGGAAACATCTCAGACGACAGAGAGATTTTAGTCTCCTTTGTCTGACAACAGACTTGCAGACGGCAGACGTCAAAGTGGGTGTTTAGTCCAAAAATAGTCCTGTGTTAAAGGCCCCGAAAACCTATTTTCACAATCAACTTAACTCAACTATGAATAATGAGAGATGATATGAACTGTATTTTCTGCCAAAGCTGGAACACTTTTGGTTATTTTACATTTGAGATTTCCGTGTTTTTTTGTTTGTGCTCTTCTCGCTGGTTTAAAATGGGCAGGACCAATTTGGAAAAGCATGATATCATGTACTTCCACATACCAATCAGGATTGAGCATAATCTGAATTAGACACATTATGAGGATAGCTGTGGGCCTGTTTGGTATGTTGGTAGACCACCATCAATCAAATCTGATCAAACCATACCTACACAGTGCCAATGAAGCACATTTGAAACCTTTTTTGAGTGTCTGTGGTTTATGCTTTTTTATATCTTGATATTTTTCTTACTTCAATACACCATACCTACAATTATGGGAATTATATTATTTATTGTCTCTGCCCGGTTACAGTATAGTCCAGCACACTTGCAGAGCAGCCACCCTATATTCCGCCCCTTTAGCAGTCTACACACAAGTCTCATGTGTCATGTACGTAAGTCACATAAGATTCACTTTTTAAAGAGGTCATATTTTGCTTTTTGGCTTTTTCCCTTTCCTTCATTCTGATATATTTTTTTTATGGATTACCATCTCCCACAGAGAAAATTTGTTACAACTTAATAACTTACCACTGAAAAGTCTTGCTCCAGTCTATGTTGCGGCCCTGCTTACTGGCTGAAGCGGCTTTCTTTTAGCTCACACTAGGACCAACCGTACTCTTCTTCCGATTGGCTAGTATTCCTTACCTAGATACTGCGCATGTGCAACTCCCAACAAAGATCAAATAGAAGTGAGATGTTTCCCTCGGTAGCTAAAACACACAGTAGTAAGACAAAAAATATGGTGTTTTTTTTAAAAACAGACTATTCTAGTTTAACTTGAAACACGATGGATAAGAAAACAAACAGGCCCAGGACTGTTTTTCATCAGGCTGCAGCCTCTGCTGCTCTCTGTAGCATAGACTGGTCTGTAGTCTTGAAATTTGGCACATTATTAAAAACTCAGCTGCTGGCTGAGACAAACCAGCCGCTCCTCCTTCGACTAGGTAACGTTACCTGCAGGCAGTGACTAATAGCAGAGAGGAGGAGAAGGGACTGATAAGGAATGAGTGTTTTATTCTTTCTAAATTCAAATTCAATTCAAATGTCTTTAATGTCCACAAATGTGGAAATTTGTCACTCAGTATTGTGAT